AATCTTAAACATGCTTCGGCATCCGTGAGAACTACTCAGTAACATGCCATTCCATTACTTATTATTATACATGTATTTTATGCTTTATACCTGAATCACTTTCATCCCATTTCTAATATTCGTAACTATTAAGTGACTAATGCTTCCACTAATTTTGATATAAAGATTATAATAATTGGAAAAATGTAGCCGAATATTATATTATGAAGGTGAATGTCAAGGAAACATGAAAATAATTTAATTACGACATTCGGCTGTTCAACTTGATACTCTATAACAGAGTTTATACGATAGACATAGAGATACCAACTATCAGTATTCGTACTGACGTAATTCACAAGAATAATAACATAAAATAAAGTGTAAATTGCAAATAACCATATAAGCGTAGACATTGGCGACGACGATACAGCATGATTCTCGAGTCATATTGAAGGGCAGTTTTTTGGAATTTCTTTGAAACAAATACTTTTTATGACGTCAATAACAGTTACATACTAAGACTAGCATGTGAAATGTATCCGACTAGACTAAAAAACGACTAATTATAATTATCGTATCCTTCTATTGATCGCAAGGCGCAGTCACAAATTAAATAATAGGTGCAGTGAAATAAGTGCGCCTCGTCACTTCACGTCACTGGCCTATACAGTCATATCAGGTAGTAATTAGGCACTAAAAGTTCCTACAGTCCGCGACCTTGTAGGCGTGACGTCGCGCCGCGCCTGCTTCGATGACGTGACGTATGACGTACCACTTTTTTCGCGGAAATTCCAGCGCGGCCATCGCTCGCGAATCGAGACCGCGGACCGGACGAGACATGAACAACACTTAACTATCATTGCGGTTTATGTAACATTTGGAGGTCTTAAAATTCTCATGCGAGTTCGCGGATTCGATTGCATCAGTAAAAATTAGATTTAAAAATTGCATTATTGTCATTCCTTTCTCATATTTTGATCATATTATAATAACACTAACATACCTATTTATTAAATGACACAATACGTTCAACAAATAGGGACAAAATAATATATTACACAGTATTTACCTAGAAAGGTATAAAAATAGGACACATTCGCACGTGTAAAAACAAAAGCTTCAGTTTGTGAAAAAACTAGAGCGCCCTGCTTGACACAAACTTGCAACTATATTGGTGAATAATGCATCTTAATATTATAGCATTTCTGTTATATTAGTAGTACCGACAAAACAAAACCATTTATAAACAAAACAAATAAGGCAATGTGGATTTACTACCAATAGCGACGCCTACTGTCTCGCCTTGTTCAAAAATTCGATTTTTTTATAGGATACGAGTATCAAACGAGCAGACAGTCCACCTGATGGTAAGTGGTTGCTGTGGCCCATAGATATCTACATCTATCCTCGATTACGAATCAATTTTTTTTTAATTATATTGCACATAAATATTGCAGTCAATAAAGAGCTTGAAATGAAGAAAATTTAACCAAGTTTTATGCATTCGTTTACATTAATATGCATATATTTAGTGTCAAGGCGTGCACAGAACTAGTACGAGGTGTTAAAAAGCGCAAGGTCGGTCGGTACAGTCAGATAGTAACATCTGCAATTTAATTGCAGTAACGACATGTACAATATGAGTAAATAATTCATAAACCTGCCGCACGCCGAAGAACGTATAACGAAATAGAACACGAACGAACGAAAATTAATGCAGTGTACCGCTCACAATTTTATAATAAACTGGTTATAAGTACTCGGACATTGCACTAGCTAGTATCACTGATATACCGCAGAATAAATAATAGCACAGGAATAAACAATACAACAGCAACAAGAATAAATGCTAATACTCAAGTAGGTAGATACTACATTAAAAAATATCTCTTACAATGCGTTGAATTTAAGTACAGAATACTCGTACAAATAAAACTAGTTTCTATACTGATTGTAAAAAGAAACCGAGCATAAATAAAGGACTTTTAACTGTCGTGATTTAGTTGTCGTTTTAATGCGAGTTGCATGTCTTGTTAGAGAATGCAATAAACAATCGAAACCGATTGAAATTATCACATTTCTATCGAGGTCTTTTGCCACTGATTCTAATGATTACTTTATTACATGAAATTAATGAAACGAGTCGACTGTGTTTATAGTAAAGTGATTTAATAACAAATTTACGGAAAGGCGTCATTAATTATTGCATTTGAATAGAAACAAAAATTGAAAGTATTAAATATATGTAAGTATGACTAAGTAATATGAGCAAAACGAATAAGACCAAACAAACAATAATTTAAGATTTTATAATTTTTCATTAAACACTACACAGTTTACTTCCTATAGATATTGTTTCTTACAATATTTTTTAATCGTAACTTGTTATTCAATGTAAAAAAACAATGGAATCACTAATAGCGTAAGCAGAGTTCTAAAATATCAAAAGTTCTAGACAATAAATTGAAGAAAGTTATAAAATTAATTTACTTAATATTATTGACTTGTTTTCGACCTCAGTAACAATGACAGATGCAAGCGAACAGAAAGGTCAGAAATCATTAGCGTTTCCTGCGCAGAAATAGCCTCAAAGGTCTAATGTACAGACGACTAAAAGGCAGCTAGCGTAAGACGCAGCTGATGTGACAGGTGGAGTTGCAGCCGGCGTGCACCTGCCCCAACACGCGCCACCGCAAGCTGTCCGATTCAATGGCATTAATTACAACTTACAACACAATCCATTACACATAAAAATATCGATGTAGTTACGTAATACAAAAAATACAACTTTTCTGGAAAACAATAGCTATAAAAACCACGAGAGCGACGTCCATTGAATAGCAAATACGTATGTAGTATGAATAATTTCTTTGTAAAAATACTTGGTATTTTAAGGCGAAATTCTCACCGACTACTGGAACGTTCCTATTACCGCTACCTTCAAGAATTAATATATTATAATGCCTTCTCGAAAATTTGAATTTCGGATCTTGACCGGTGACATCAGACGGCAATTAAAATTCCGAGTGTAGTATCAATTTCCGGTATATAGGCAAAATAGGATTAAAGAAAAAGAGAGTGTACAAAAACAAAGTTCGCGATTCGTATTGGTCTAGTATTGGAGGGCTGGAGCCGGAGTACCGTTACTTACGGATAGCGACGATGCGTAGATTATAACTGGTGGACCGGTTCGCGTCCGATAGATAATTTAATATGATTTGAGCTGAGTGCAGCCGATCGCGGGATATATTAATCGTCAACAACTCGATAGTAACAAAACGAATGTTGTGTTACGATAACAGAAAAGAACGACCCTAAAATTAAACAAAATATAAGGTAAAAACAATAAAATTATTTCTACACAATATATTCTGAGGTCGGCGCTAGGGTGTATGCTAAAAAAATTTGAAGAATTTGAATTTAAAGAATTTGAGCTCCAAATTCAGAAATTTTATGTGGAGATTCTTTTATTACTTTTACTTCATAGACTTCTGCTTTTACATTTATTAAATATTAATTTTTTAAGACTTTTAAAAGTGATGTGGAATATTACAAGTCCAAAGTAAAAAATAGAAATATAGCTTACGTAGTTTTAAAAAATTTCACCCTAAATCCTAACCAACATATGAAATATAAAAAGAATCATAGAAAGCGGTTTAAAATTGGCGAAGATATCGCGTAACGTACACATACAAAAAAACAAATCGATAATACAACCTCCTCTTTTTTTGAAATCTGCTAAAAACCATTAAAGAAGTAGTCATGATAAAGCCCCATCCAGTCTATAATTAATTCAAATGCCTCTATAAGATCTATTACAAGCTTGCATGTCATTTCTCGCGAATTCAGTAAACGAATTGATACGACGAAACGTTAATGTAAAATTGGACGCGACCGGTGATAATATATATATATTTGCGAAAATGATTAGGTGATAAAACGTTTTAGCATTCATGTTTTTCGAAACAAGGTTTTTCCCAGTCGGACGCTATTATAGCGGACAATTATACATTTTCATTGTAATCGATGTGCTCATTAAATTTCCAAGCATATAGTAGCACTACCGGTATGTTGACCAATGACAGACGGACAAAAGTGCGCGAAATCCACCTACTGTACATACATGACTCACAGATTTTCCTGCGTTTTATACGTAATGGTTATGACAGCATTGTATAGTTATGGCGTGAGTAGTCGCAGCGAAAATACATCGATTCACCAGTTCATAAGTAAGCCAAAATTAATAAAGAGTTAATTTCATATATCAGCGACATCAACTTTCTATTTGTAAGGGCCTTAGACGATTACATTGTTAGGTACTTTTAATTACTTAACTCTACGGAATTAAAAGTAGCTTACAAAATAATGCCTAACCTAAATCTTAATACTTAAACTTTTTTTTATTAATTACTTTTTAGTAAACAATATTTTATACAAAAAGAATCTGTTAGAAGTTATTATAAAATTCACATATTATCCTGGTTTAATGGCAAAACAGTACATTACCACAACATTAACTACAATGAAAATCTTTGCATACTACTAAGTATTAGGAAAAAGAGCTTAGAGGTAAAAACGCATCGCGTGCAGCGGCAGCTTTGTTGCGGCCACTCCACCGACCTATATTTTATGCGACACAGAGTTCATTAGGTATTTACTAACATTAAGCAAATTAACACAATTTACCCTACCAGCTTCGTCAACCTTGATGCAATTTTGTCTTAAATTTTGTTCGCGATTCGACGGCGCGCAGGAAGGATCGTATAACAGGCAGCCTACCTGCGAAAATATACTACAAAAAACTGCACAAACCTTGCATACATACAAAAACGCAACCTCCCGACGGGACCAGCTCCGGAGTCGTCGACGTAGGTGTCTACATTTTGGAAAACAAAACAAAATAGAAAGAGATGCGTGCGAAAGCGACGCAGGGATACAGGCGGCAGGTTTGATAGAGTGAGAGGTGGCTCGAAAGCCGACGTAAACAAACCGCGATCGGGAACTTCGACCGCACTCACCATTTCGGGGATCCTCGGGTCGAAAACGCGTCGATGGGCTCTCGGCGAACCGCGTAGTGAAGAGCGGGGGCGTCGTCGGAAGAAAAACAGCACTAGCACAGTCACTCAGGATGGTTCAGCACACGCTATCGGTACATATAAATACGACACGTCCCGTCCTACACTACGTTCACGGCCCGCGCCGATGCAGTTTACGTCACCGCATCCCGCTCCCGACTGAATGTAACACGGCGCGAGCGAACGACGACCTCGCGCTGCAGCGTGCACTGCCCCGCACCCCGCGAACACCCGCCGCGCCCTACCAGCCCCCGCCCGCTGCGGCCCTACCTCCCCCCCGTGCTCGCCCTACGTTTAGTGAATCACAAACACGAAATACTATCGCCACGAAAATCAACGTGAAGCGCTACAGTATTTTAGGTGTAACAAATAATAATTGTATGTATATGAGAGTCATCCTAACGATTCAAAGGCAAAAAGTTTCAATATAAGTAAAACAAACGAAAAAAGATTGCATAGGCCAGCCATTATAAGGTGGATGGATCATGGATGTCTATTACCAGCCTTTTAATGCCAATTTCAACTTTAAAAATTCGAGCTATTTTAATTTGAGCACAATATTTTTGTACACTTGTTTAAATCGAAAGATTATTTATCACAAAATGTAATGAACATTCATTACCAATTATATTATTTCAAAAATAATTTAAAAACGACGATAAACAAAAAAGGCGTTTAGACTGAAATTCCAGCCATCCTATAGGATGTTATAAGATTTTTCTGGAATTTCTCATAGTTATATGACATCCACGGTGCGACTTTTTTTGTAGAATAAGGGTGACAAGCGAGCACACTGATGTGGTCCATAGACATTTACATCCATTTTCGATCAAGAATTAAAATGCAGATTCGTTCAGTCTTGAGTACAAATATGTAAAGTCGTTTGCAGTAAAAAGAGTCTCGGTAGGCGTATTACGTATCTTGCAGAAGGCTAGCGATAGCGAAATTAGAACAATAATTGCTGAAAAATCGCGAAAAATAAAGGACGACATTCGGTATACCGAATGTCGTCCTTTTGTGTACCTAATGCCAGCCTAGCATAACGTTATGTCACAGTTCTGTTCAGGTCTTTAACCTGAACAGTTTGTCCTTTGAGTTTTTGGTAAGTATCTACTTATTGTAGGTAAGTTTAAGAGGCACAGATTAGAAAACAACTTCTAATTTTGAATCAAGCATGACTGCATGACACGAGCTTGAAATATACAAGTGGTAAAATTAAAAATTTTGTACAACCGACTTCAATATAAACCCCTGCGCTGCTCACTATGGGTAAATTTTACCCAAGCGTGTACATTTCTGTACCTATTTCTTTTTCACAAATCACAGCGCGTTGCGCTTTCGTGTACCTTCAAGTTATGTTTCGGACTACATGTTAGCCGCTCAGCAGCAGTGGTGCCAAGTTAGGCGATTTTTCCTTTTAGGCTATCTCGCAGGCTGTCGGGGCGACCAAAAATTGCGATTGGCGACTGGTCGCCATTTAGGCTATTACGAAAAAAAAAACAAGGACGCTTTTCGGCTACATTATTCTCTCTCTTATTAAGTAAGTCTCTTAGGATATATAATAAAAATGCGTATAATGAAACATATGTTTTTAACACAGAGAAATATCAAAAGAAGACTAGATTTGAAAGTACCAATGACCTAAGAAAAAGAGATGTAGATTTCTTCTATAGATCTTAGATATATAGATTTTATATATGATTATGTATATATGTATGTATTATAATTCGTTAATCTCTTTAATTGTAAATAAAATATTTCGTTTCAATTTCTGAAATATTAATAATGATAAATAGATAAAATACATATAAGTACTTTATGTTGATCTTTTCTTTCACGTTTACGATAAAGTGCTTATAATTATAAATAAGGGATCTACGTTTAAAAATAGCCTTTATAGGCGAACTGATAATTCAGAAGGCGATCTAAGGCTACATTACAGACAAAAAAATTAGGCGAATTTAGGCTACTTTATTTAAAATTTTTGGCGATTCGGAACGGTCTAGACTTGGCAACACTGCTCAGCAGAGCAGTCAGTTGGCGCGACGTGCTTTGAAGTTGTGGACGTGTAAATTGTACGTGGGTATTCTTCACCCCTAGCGATAATTCGTGCTGAGTAATTTTTGAGTTTTATTTTTGTTATTTGGAATAATAATGTCGCGTCAAAGATTAACCGATGAAGAAATAGAACAGTATTTTCAATTGGACGATAGCATTTGTTCTGAAATTGAAGAGTTTAGTGAACATGATACGGATTCTGAACAAGAAGGTGAGGTTTTTCAAGAGCCATTACCGGAAGCGACAGAAATTTCAGTACAGTCACCGTCATCGTCACTTGACATTATGCCTGATTATTTTTACGATGTCCCTGTAAGTTGCGGAGGTTGCAATGCGGATATTATTTCGGAAAAGACGGTATGACGAAGTGGGCTATCACAGAACCATCTCAGCGTATTCGAACTTGTTCACACAATATCGTGTTGGAAGCTCCAGGACTAAAAGATGCTGCCAGGCAATGCCTGAAAATTGTTGATACATGGAATTTAATTTTTCTACTGTAGACTTACAACTTATCGTTGACTGCATCAATCTATATAGCGATAAACGCAAAGAAAATTACCAAAGAATTAGAGAGTGTAAACATACCGACATAACGGAGATTAGAGGTTTATTTGGCTTGCTGTACATCATTGGCAGACTTCGAGGAGCCTATTTGAATACTGAACATCTTTGGGTTACTGATGGCACTGGTTTTGACGTTTGCTTGGTTACAATGTCTCGATATCCGTTTCATTTTCTTCTTGTATGCATAAGATTTGATAATATTCACACACGCATGGAAAGACGTGAGCATGATAAGCTAACAGCGATTCGATGAGATTTTTAAAAATTTTTGTACCAGGATAAAATTGTGTTACTCTTTGCATGGCCAGGTTACCATTGATGAAAAATTAGAGAAATTACATGGACGTTGCTCTTTTCGGCAGTATTTACCGAGGAAGCCAGGAAAGTATGGCTTGAAAATTGAAGTGTAGGCTGATGCAAAAACATACTATGTTTTTAATTTGGAAATTTATGTAGGTAAGAACTCAGGACCTTATGAAATAAGTAATGCAGCAATTGATATCATATGATCTGGTAAAACGTTTAGTAGAACCGATAAAAAACACACACATTGCAATTTTGAGATGGATAACTTGTTTAGATCATTTCAATTGCTTCAGGATTTAAGTATACATTGATTACGGATTGACAGCTTTTTAAACAGTTCGCTAGAACAAAAAAGCAATACCTCCAATATTCGTATCAAGCAAGAACAAAGAAATTTGTAGCTTTATTTTTAGTTTCCAAGAAAACTGCACATTAGTTTCTTATGTGTTACGGCAAAGTTGTTTTATTAGCCTCTACAATGTTCCATGATTGCAAAAATCGACTCTCTTACTGGTGACATAAGTAAACCAGAAATGATCACTGATTATAATGTCAACAAATGTGCAGATGACATTGTCGATGAAATGTGTGGCACTTATTCTCTGTTGAATATGGGAGGCATAAACGCTAATATCATTGTGAAAGTGAACGAACAGGATGGGCCCAGACGACAATACATCAAGTTTTTGGCATTGGATCTTATCACCCCTCAGATCAAAAGGCGATTAGCTATACGTAATTTGCTACTATATCTGAAAGAAAAAATAAAGTTTATGCTTCGGATTGATAACAGGGATGGAGGGCAGCTAAACAACGAAGCCATATCGACGTCAAGAAAACGATGTGCTTACGTCTAGACACCAAACATGTCCACCCAAAAAGAATCTAAAGACAAACTCTTGTTGTCAAAATTGTGACAAAATGTTATGGCGGGAATATGCACTGCCCATTTGTTTTGATTGTATTCAAAAAATTAAGTAATTTTCACTCAAAATCTCAAAATCCTATTTACGTAAATCTGACAACTAGTATTTTTTCTTAGTTTTTATAATGTTACTTCGATGTTGATTTATTACTTAAAACATATTGACAAACGTTAGTTATTGTAGTCAAGTCAAAAATAATAAGTATTTTTTTAAGATAACAAAAACAAATTTTAATTTAGACCTTATAAGTGACTTTTTCTGTGATTTTATGCAAATTACTAAAAATCAAGAGAATATTTTGGTAAGAAATTATGATACGTAGTTTTTATATAAAATATGCATTGAAATACGTTTTCTTAGTTTTATTTAGATCCTTGATATATATTTAGTATGTATATCAAATATTTATAAATCTTTCTCACCCTGACATTCAGATTCAGCCCTAGCATACTCCTTAATGAGCGGATTTCTACAGCATTTATTCTACTCTCGTGCTTCTTCTGCCAGACTTTCACTACCATACATTAAAGTAGGGACTAACACAACCTTATGAATTGCCATACGTGGAAAGAGTGGCAAAGCAAATTTATGTTGCAGAAGTGAACGGCAGAGTCGGGAAGGGTCGCCTTAGACGAAGGTTTACCGACCAAATTGGCGATATATTGAAAATGGACCAGATTAGGAGTAACCTTAACCTTAACCGACGAGCGTGTATGCGTAGATATATGGGTGTAAAGGAGACGAGAGAGGTGTGTCAGGATCGTGCCAAATGGACGTCCGTAGTTTCTGCCTGCCCCTCAGGGTGGCAGGCGTGAGTGTTTATGTTTATGTGTTTTAATGTTTTACTGTATACTTAACTTACTGTGTTTTAGTTTTAAGAAGTGCGGTTCTTTTAACACTTAACAATCAATTTAAACTAATTGTGATAATAAATGTAGCACATCGATTTCAAAATAATCATCCAAGTTTTCGAAACATCATTATCATTACAGCGCAGCGCAAGTTCTCACCTGAACATTGCTTCCTTCATGCCGCAAAGTACGGCACTCAGCCCCTTGGCATTACATGAATTATTTCTTTGTTACTTTTGTTACTAAGTTCTGATTTTGCGTTTTTTCTGAATTTTTGCTTTATTTGTCTTTCTCAAAAACTTATTAAAATATAAGGTGTTCTAAATATACAACAAATATCTGATAGAAAAGCAAGTACGTCCTTTGCTAAAATTTCATTAAAAAAAACAATTTTATTTAACATAGTATATATATTTATTATAACATATATTAATTATAACATCGAAATTGGAA